TTTATGTCTCGCAAAACAAATGCATTTACTCGTCGGGCGACACATGAAGTCTATCTATTATTGATATGTTTTATGCGCTTTAAATCTTACGATATCTTTACTTTTCAATAGAAAATAGTTTTGTTTTCTTTTAAAACTTTTATGTCTTATGATATAAAATAACATCAAAAACATAAATTTTATTTCGTATATGCGTTCAGACTTTTATTTCACATTCACTCAATTGTTTGAACAATTAATTTGATTAAAATTATTAGTTATTGTTATATTGTGTGTAATGTTAAACATTTTTGGAAAGATTCTTATACAGTGCAACCTCTTTTGGGGGAACACCTCCTTTAAAGGAACGGATTTGAAATATATTTTGGATTTTCTATACCTATAACAGACCCTCCTTTAAAGGAACCCTCTCTATAGGGAACACTTTTGCCGTGCAACTGACCGTTGCTTATGGAGATGTTGCACTGTATACAGTATGAATACACCTACTTGTCATAGTTTGACCAAATTTTCCCTGTTTTCAGGAAGATAAAATATATTCCCGGAATATATTTGACAGGGAAGGGAAGTGTCTAACGTTAACTGTGTGTATTAAAGACAAAAGAGCCATAAATATATTTTAGTATTAATAAAATTTTTGTTAAATTAACAGCAAAGCATCTGTTACTCCAATAAATTATATAAGTTTTAAATTGTTAAATTTTCTTATGATTTATATGACATTTAAGTTATTGTATTGAAGTTTTTTTTATTATTAAGAGATTTTTAAGAAGTTGCAGGAATTTTATATTAAATTTATTGACAATTGAATTATTTAAAATTCTGTTTAAATTTAATTTTAAGTTTAAAAATAATTATCTTAATGATTTGTAAAGAATTTAAACCTACGATATAAACATTGAACACATAATATATAGTGAGATCGCATCATATGTTTAATTAATTGGTTTTATTTTTGGCCACAAATTTGTAATGCAAACCAAAATATTTCTAATGATATCTCAATAATCATAATTACATTTCACAATTAATGAGCTTTCATTTGACAAAGACATTAATTTAACGACTAAACCGCAAATGCTATACAGTATAAAATACACTTTCAATTATCGTTTGATTTTATTTGTTGTTACAAAAAAACTTTAACTTTTCTACTAATTCTCAGAGACAGAGAAAAAATGAAAATCAATATTAAGTTAAAATATAAGCAAAAGAAATATTTCCACTAATTTTTCGATGAGAATAGGAGTTAGAAATAAACGCATAAAATATATGGACTTGTGTTTTGAGATTGAGATGTAATGACAATGCAATTAATGATTACTAATTAAAATGCTATACAAATTAGTATTAATTTGTCGTACAATCGGTTTTTTGGGCACAAATTGTGACCAAAATTAACATAAGAAGTAGTCATAGAAACACAGCCTATGATTAGTAAATTGCCAAATAATATAACCACATCTCGGATATGAACTGCATTTTCTGACATCCAATACAAAACTAATTCACTTTCAATGGCCCAATCACTACACCATTTCAATTAATACATGTCTTTTATTATAAAAATATGGCACAATTTTTATATTAAGTGCTAATTTTAACGCTTGTTTCTATGACTACAATATTTTTTCTAATAAATAGATTTATTTAAAGTATATTTTTGGTCAAAAGACAAATCATTTATTTTGATTGTTATCTCATTTGTGTATTCACTTAACTGTAAACTCAAAATTTATCTTCAATTAACGGTAAACATGTAATTATTTTATAAATATTTATATTGTAATTAATAGTTAGATAATATTTTGTTTAAAATATTTTTGAATTTTTGCATAAAAATAAATGTTACATTAATTAGTACAGTATTAGGATTTTTAATTATTGCGTTAATTAAAATTTATCTAGTAATTAAAATTAGGGTTTAGTGATTAATAATATATTGTGAGACTAGCGAAAAATTAAATTGCTATGATAAATTAATTTTTGTCTAATATAAAATTATTACCTCGTTTTCCAATTGTGTTTTATTTCCCATAAGAATAATATGTGAAATATTGATTTAATGGGAATATTTATTTACTATATATTCTACAGTAAATTAGAGTTAAAACTAATTTACGATATTTTTATATACTTTTATTAATATAAAAATCCAATAATAATAATAATAATAATATATTATATTACTAATTTATATTTATAGAAATAATATTTATATAATTATTTGTTTATGAAATCGATTGGTTTATTACTGATAAAAATGGTATTTGAAAAAATGTCAAAAATATTATTAGATTTTGACTTTGTTTTGTACTGATCTCCAAGTGTTTGACTCCACTTCCGTCAAAAGACTTCAATCAGAAAGTTGATTGAGATTTAAGTGGAGAAAAATGAGAGAAACAGTTAGAAAAAACTATGAGAACAATGGGATTGAATAGAGGTATAGATGAATGAGATGTCGGACTCAAAGAAATGTAATTTTGATATTGAAGTCATTTTTCAATATAAAACAAAGCTATAGAAAAAACTACAATCGAAACAAATAACATAACTATTAATATTTGACACTTTATTGATCGATACGACCCTACCTTTGATAATATCCTAATTTAATGTTTTACTAACGATATTTACATTACAGCTTGTTTATCTATGATATATTCATTGAATACAATTAGCATTCATATAATTAAATATTGTGCAAAATCAAGTTTTTTGTGACGACATTTTGTAATAAAACATTTTTAGGTGAATCCGAGTGGACGACAATCAATACAACGATGCCATCGGACGTTCCCGACAGGATATACGACATGAAAGTGTTGGCCGCCACTAATGAGACACTACTTATCGGTTGGAAACGACCGCAAGAAAACGGGGCCTATATTTCCGAGTATAAGATGGAGTTGAGAAATGTTGAGCAAAATTCTGTGATCGGAGAGACAATGCTTGTGAAGGACACACTTCATGAGATCAGACGGAACTATATGTATATATTTGTCGGACTCCAACCCGCGACCAAATACTCGTTTCAAGTAATTATCATTATTATTAAATAGTCTAATAACATAGTAGAGTTAGTTGCATTTAGTACATTAATGTGATTGATATTTTACAATGGTGAATTTGATTATATAATAACCATAATTAAATATGTCATAACCAAATTTGTTTAAATTATGGTTGAAATATATTTATTAGATGACATACATATTAACCGTACATATGATTGAATTAACTTATAATTAAATGCATAATTTGTGTCCATCAGGTGAAGGCGTGTTCGTACTTGGGTTGTGGCCAGTGGTCAGAGCATCAATTGCCGGCTCAGACAAGTGATGGCAATTCAGAGGCGCCGCTACACCTGAAGGTGTTGTGCGCTTTCGATGGCAAGCGTTCAGCAAATTTTGCTAACATTTCGTGGAATCCAAGCCTTAATACTCGCGGAACTATCATTGGATACAACGTTACTGTCATCGGAAGCGCCAAATACCGCAACAGTAATGACCAGATAGTGAACGACCACATCGTTGAATGGCATCGCATTCACAGCAATACTACTCATCAAATTCAGGTAAACATCTATTTGTGAAAACAATTTTATTTATTTTTAACAAATACTCAACGGAAAAGCAAAATTGAATTTTTCACAGAGAGAGAGAGAGAGAGAGAGAGAGAGAGAGATTAAAATATTTATGGTCTATCAAAGATTTATTTAAAAGTCAATAAAGATTTATTGTAATAAATTATACATTAAAATCCAATGAAATTTAAATGAAAAATAAA